GCCGGGCAGAAGCGCACGCATGCACACACCTGGCCGCACGCATTGCTCCTCGGCCAACACCGGCTGCGTGTGGCCCCACCCCCGCGACGCGCTCTGCTTCTTTGCCCCCCTCCCCACCACGTTCGCAGCTCACGCGGCTGCGGATACTGTTGGACTCGGCCACGCAGTGCGGCATGCGGGGCCGCGAGGGCATGGCGCGCGCGCTCGTGCGGTCGCTGGCCGAGTGGGCGGCGCTGGACGCGTGGCGGCCGCTGGATTCAGGGGAGCTCGGCGCGGCGCGGCGGGAGCTGCGGCTTCGGCAGCGGCAGGAGCAGCAGCAGCAGGGGCAGCAGCAGCAGGGGCAGCAGCAGCAGGGGCAGCAGCAGCAGGAGCAGCAGCAAGAGCAGCAGCAGGCGGAGGAGGATGAGTTTGAGCGCGTGCCGGGCTCGGTGTACGCGCGGCGGGACAAGCTGCGGCGGCAGCTGTATGGCCGCCGCGCCGTCGCGCTGCTGTCATCCATGGAGCGCTGCTCTGCGCCGCCGCCGCCGCCGCTGCTGCGGTGGCTGCTGCGGCGGTGCGTCGCGCCGGGGCTGGGGTCGCTCGACTGGGCGCGGGCGCAGCGGCTGGGGTGGGTGCTGGGGCGGAGGGGGGACGGCGCGGGGCTGCTGCTGGCGGCGGCGCTGGGGCCGTGGCTAGATGCGCCAGAGCAGCAGCGGCGTCAGCAGCAGCAGCAGCAGCAGCAGCAGCAGCAGCTGGAGGAGCGGCCGCCTGGCAGCACGGCAGGACGGCGATGCGGCGGCTCCGCGGGGCGGCGGCAGCATGAAGGGCGGGCGCAACAGATTGATCTGTCCAGCAGCGCTGTGGCCGGCCTGCTGATTGCTGTCGGCCAGCTATCTTATTGGAGTTTGAGGGAGGACGCCGCGGCAGCCGCACGCGGCGCCGGCGCTGCGGGATACGGGGGGCGCCTGGAGGGTGGGGGCGCGGGAGGGGCTTCAGGGCCGCGCGGCAGCGAGGCCGCACGCGCGTTCGTGCGCCGCTGCCTCGCCGCCCTGCCGGCCGACGGCGCCGCTGTCCCCGCGCGCCACGCGGCGGCGCTCGCGT